GTTTGTCCATGTATGTTTTGTGTTTGTTGTAAAAATAAAAAAAATATATTAAAAAAAAAATAGCACAGCAAAAAACAAAACAAAACAATGAATTCATGAACAGTCTGCGGTGCTAATGTAGCCTTAATATCCAAAGATGGACCGATCCTGAGATCTTGACTATCTAAGTAATTCTAATTTTATGCTACTTAAGAAGTGGAAATGGACTGATGTGTACAAATGTGATTTTATCACTCAAAACCAAACCAAACCAAACCACCAATAGAAGCGAATATAACCAAAATGTTTTATTACAGAGACTCAGCACCCTGGAGAATTATCTCTCTTCTGCCAAGTCATATGTTGCAAATGCCTAGCTGGGGAGGGACGACAGCTCAGTGGAAACACTATACACTTTGCAGACAGAATGTTCCAAGATGTATTTGGTTTAAAAAAAGAATCTAGTAGCAGATGATGGGAAAATCTTTTGGCTGGGCCCCAGAGAGCCACTATTCCTGTTTAAACAGTATGCTGCAAAATAGGCAAATGGGCTAGACTCATATAAGTTTGATCTCTCTTAAACAACTGTCAGTGACAATCAGTTTCACAAGTTAACAAGTTATGAATAAGCTTTTTTTCTTGGGGGGGGGAATCATTTCTAAGTGGAATATCTTGCATCTCCAGCTAGAGGGACCAGCTAACAGGTAAGCCCTTTTTGCACTGGACATCTCTGAGGATGCTGCTACTCAAAACAGTAATTAACATTATTCATGATAGACATATTGATCGTATGGAATACTATGACTGGGTTCCCAAATATCCCGGTTTGCTTAATCATGGTTTATTGAACTGTGTTCAAACAAGCCAAGCCAAAATCAAACAAATTATATTACGGCTCAAAATCTATTCTATTCTGACTGTGGAGATAATATAACACAACCTAAACAACTTCCAGGTTGAAGTGTGTGGACTTCAACTCCCAGAATTCCCCAAGAAGCATATTTGGAACTTGCTTAGGTTGGGAGACTCTGCTATAGAGCCATTGAGATGAATGTGGATATATGTATAGTATGAACTAATTAACAGATTCTCCTTTCCTGTCAATAATTTCTGGAGTTTAATGTTTGTAACAAGTATACGTGTGTTTGTGTAGAGGGCAAAGGAAATGGTTTTGAAGGATAGGAAGAACTGCTATCAAGGCAATGGCCAGATAAAAGGTGCTTGACCCTGGGCCAAGCAAGTAACTTGAGAAAACATCTCAGACAAGATCCTTCCTAGTTCACACAAAGAAAAAAGAAGGGGGAAAACCCATGCAGACTTGCAAGATTCTGCTGCTATAACTATTACAATAAAAGTAGTACTGAACTACATGGCTTCTTAGTCTGGTCCACCTTGTAGGGATGAGAGGACAGTTCGTGTTCATATACGTATAAATACAGACATGTAGGTTTGGGGGTGGGAACCTAGAAAAACTCAGTTAAGAAAGCAGGAACATTTAGAAAGAGGACAATTTTATAAATGTATTTTTCTTTGTTTTTCTAAGGATTTTAGGAAGATAAGCCCTCACATTTCTATTTGCAGATATATTTATCCTACTATTCTCACAACCTTCGATCAGAAAATTGCAAAAATTAACATAAAAGCCTGTTTGGCAAACAGTAGGTTCACATCACACTATGCCACATTTCATGTTAACCGTGGTTTATTGAACAAGTCTTAATGGTTGCATGGGCACATGACACTAAGCCATAACTGATGGGTTTACAAACCACAATGATCAGGTTCACAAGTATATCCTTAGTCAAAACCAAAATATCCAGGTTATCTGTGTAAAACATAATGGGTGTACCTAGCTAACATAGAATGTAGCTCATTCTTTTTTTGTACTTCTGTACCACTCATAATTTTGTAACGTCTAACCATTTCTTTCCTAATCTTAGGCTCCAGAGACCTGACCCAGTCAAAACGCAGCAAATTTCTCCTATTGGTTTTATCTAGAGAAGCAGGTAGTAATCCTAACATAGTTATTTGAAATCAGCACCACTTCAATAGCATAAGCTTACACACACACATGCCCGTACAGAAGCTAAGTCCCACTGGATTCATCTTTGCCTGGATCACGATTCTAATATTTTGTGATCTTGCCCCAAAAGAAAGCCAGATGACAGTCATAAAAAGAGTACCAAAAGATGTCGAGAATGAGAAATTGGATTTGTTTCTAATTTAGGCAACATTAAAGGAACTGTATTCATACGCTTGCAATTAAGGGGCTGTCAGAGTGTGTTAGCAACAAAAGTGCTTTTACAGAAATATGGGATGCAATGATTTGGAGACTCCCATTTCTGTTTCAATGCACAGCTGCCAATCTCAGTTCTAGCCACCCTGCTTGTAGAAATACAGTGGGAGACCAGGTCTCCCTGCTGATTTAATAGAAAGATACATCCATGAAAGATGAATCTAGAAACATGAAAAAGATCCATTCTGACAGCACCATTTTCAGTGCATAAAGCTCCTGTCTCCCATCTCAACTAGGCATCACCCAACAACATGCCCATGTTGTGGAATATCTTCCCCCCAAAGTGAGACTGGCTTCATCACTTCCGTCCTTCTGCAGCTCCCTCAAAACCTGGATGTGTCAGGGGACTGGTGAATTATTAAGGTGGCTACACTATTATTAACATCTCTTCATCTAATATTTCTCCTCTTTTAGCTTGTTTTTACAATTTTTAAAGTTTTTAGATAATAATAATAATTATTATTATTATTTGGTATTTATTGTTTTAGCCTTGCTGTATGCCACCCAGAGTCACTGTTTGTGAGATGGGCAGCTATATGAATTTGACAAATAAATAAATAAAATAACTACAACATCACCAATAAAGCAACATTTTAAAATAATGAAATCAAACCCACACTCCAGTCTATAAAACTGCAGAACAAAATTGGAATGCATTAGAAGATGACCATAGTGTAGGAAAGCAATTTGTAGATTCTCAGAAACCTATTCGCCCACAATGACCAGACATGTTTATTGCTTAACCATGGTTTGTAGAAAAAAAATAATCTGATGAAGTTTACATGAGATATTAAGAAACCATAGCTTACAACTTACAGTGTCTGAACTCACTCAGCAAACTAAGCAGAGCACACGAAACAACTCAGGTCAGTGGGTGAACTGATTTCAGTCTTGTAATTCTATTTTTCTTTTTCCTCAACAAAGAGATCCAACTCCTGGTGCAAAATAGGGGCTTTCTGGGAAGGTTGGATTCACACAGCAGTTCAAATTTAATTCAGAGGAGTCAAGAAATCCTTGCAGATCAAGTGCAAACCCCCAAGTGATTTACTAAGTTATTCAGATCTACTTTCTGGCCACCTGCCACCACCAAAGAAAGCCATTTTTGTGTTTGGCCCTTCCTATGTTTATAAACATCTCTTTTTGTTCCATGCAATGATGGAAAGAATATTGCATCTGTTGCTAGCACTTTTACCAGCCCCAACATTCTTTCACTAAGCTAAGAAATGCATGGATGGTACATCCAAAAGCTAAATGGAAGAAAGGACAGTCTTTAGGAAGGAACCTGAACTTCTGAAAATTAAGATCTGGAAAGGAGGGAAAAAAAGAGTCTATTTTCAAAAATCGGAACAGATAAAATATATTTGCCAAAAAGACTAGTCGGATGACTTTCTGAAACCCTCCGAAGACACATGATCAAGTTTTGACACAGGAATTAATATAGGGGCAAGCCAATCTATTTGGCTGGCTGTCAAGAGTGATGGAATAGGCATTTGGATGAATGCCGCTGTAATAAACCAGCAGTTCCCACATCTAGCAATCTCTAGATCTGTTGGATGACCGTTCATATTATCTTGAGCAGAACAGCTCATCGAGGTTGACGATGGGAACGGGGAGCTAAAACTCCTGAAAGATGATTGACTAAGGCAGGTTGGAGCTAGAAAAAAAGGATGGTTGACCCGGAATTGTTAGCTTGATGGGGGTAGGGAAAAAGAAATGGGGAAAACAAATTCTTCCCACCATGCCATTTATTCATTGGAAGCCAACTTCCTCTCACTTCCCCTCTTTTCCCCATAATCCAGTGGATTTCAAGGAGGATTTCCAAGTCACCATCTCCTCTTTGCCCTTCAAGAAAGTGAATTCACAACCAGTTCAAGCTCAGAGATGCCTCCAAATAGAGGTGAGCCCCTCCAATGCTTTTCTACACCTGCTTTCATTTTTATTCTAATCCTCCATAAGAGAAACAGCTGTCAGAGCACTCTTTCAGTTACAATCCAGCCTGGAAACAGCTGAATGGCTGGAGCTCAGCCTCTTGCAAGCTCTGGGAGCATCTCCCCCTCGCCCCCAATGAATGGGTCCAAAGACTATGAAAGCTCACAGCATAATAAATCAGTGATGTTTTTCCTGCCAGAGTGAGTGGCTACTCCCCTTCTGATCTGACGATAAGGATGACCACGGATGGATGCTCGGCTGCAACCCCTGCGGCTCTGCTTGGGAGCCAGAGGGCCGGAGAGGCCTTCTCGACTTCCCCGACTGAGCCCCGCGGCCAAGTTTGGGCCTCCGGCTCGACCCCGGGGGTCTCCCCGGCTCCCTCACCTCCTCGGCCTGCTTGCGCAGCGCCTTCTCCCGCTCGTACTGGGTGAGAAGCTGCTCGTTGTCTTCCCGCAGCAGCTCCAGCTCCACCTCGTGCTCCTGGTTGTCGGTCAGCACCGAGTCTAGGTTCTCCAGCACCGTCACCACCAGCGGCATCAGCTCCTTGACCACCTCCTCGTCGTAGCAGCGGATCAGGCGCTCGAACTCGCGGTAGATGCTGTTGGCCAGGCCCGAGACGCGTTCCGACATCACCGAGCCCGAGCAGTAGTCGTCCCCCGGGTAGCCGCCGACGCCGCCATCGTCCAGCTGGATCTCCAACATCTTGGCGCCGCCGATGCGCTCCCCTCCGCCGCCGCACCTGCTCGGCCGGCCGGCTTGCAGAAGATGGACGGCGGCGGCGGCGGCCGCGGTGCTCCTCCGGCCTCGGTCTCCTCCTCTCCCGCGCTCGGCTCCGCTCACCCCCGCTCCCCCCTCCCCTCCGCCGCCGCACCTGCTCGGCCGGCCGGCTTGCAGAAGATGGACGGCGGCGGCGGCGGCGGCAGCGATGCTCCTCCGGCCTCGGTCTCCTCCTCTCCAGCGCTCGGCTCTGCTCACCCCCGCTCGCCCCTGCCCTGCGCCACTGGCCACTCCCGTCGCCTCTCCCTCGCGCTCGCTGCCTTGCGCGCACAGGCGCACCAGCGAGGCGGCGGGCGGGCGGGCAGGCTGCTTCTCTTCCCGGGGGGGAAGCTGCGAAGGGGGCCTCTCGGGAGCATCCTTCTTCCCTGCACGGGGATGGGGCTCTCATTCATGGCCAAGCTCGCCGGAACGTCGGGGCTTGTGAATAATGGTAACGACAGTAACAACAACAATAATAGCTCTCCTGCACTTCTGCCCTTCAGGAGAAGAAGAAGAAACCAGCCTGCTCTCAGGAGCTCAAGGCTGCTTCTGCGGGGATCCTCCTTCATTTAGTTCTTCCAACATCCCTGTGAGGTCGGTGAGGCTGAGGGAAAGTAACTGGGCCAACCTCACTCAGTTTCCAGGGCTCAGGGTGACCTTGGGGCTGAAGTTTTCTGGTCCTGCTCCAGTCCCTGACTGCTCACCCCTTGTCTGTCAAAAGCAGGCAAAGCTCTTTTGGGGGAGGTGGCAGTTGGTCCCGGACTCACATGCACGTTCAAGCAACTTACTGAACCAGAGTAATGAAAGTTCTGGCAGCTGCATGTTCATTACGTGCTTAGCTTGGCTAGTTGGAATCCTGGTTTGTTTGTTTGCTTAGTTTATTGTGTGATTCCACACATTGCACAGATCTTTTAAAAAATGGGTAAATTCATTTAGTGAATATGCGCTTGACAAGTCCCCCTCTCCCCCAGCAAAGGTATAGTTTAGTACTGGAAATGGATAATTTTTCACTCAAGGAAATAACATAAATTGACTAAAATCTTATTTTAATATTGTATTAAGATTTCCCCACACACTCCTTTTTATTGGGCCATAGATATCAATAGATAAATGGAGGGAGAAATTTGCATTAACATAGGGTACAATGATAAAAAAGGGGAATGCCTCAAATTAATATTTTGCCCTCGTCTTTCAGAGCCTTGAAGAACCACCTGGATGTGTGGGATGAATACAGTAGATATTTGCTGCTAGGATTGGAAAGGGATGTTCAGCTCAGTATTACAAAGCTGTTTTTGCAATATGACAAATAAGATATAAATATGAGGAATACCTGCTGTGTTTGGATTTTTTTAAAATATATGTAATGGAGTGTCATGATGCCACAGACTCCATTTGTACAAATAAGACATAAATTTTAAAACTGCCATCTATAACATCATCTACATGAGACAGAGGATCAAGATTTCTTAAAGCACCATAAGATGCCATTCATTACATCTGACTAGTGCCCTGCAATCCATCTCTTAAAACTATGAGTTAAAGTGGCACATGAGCTATGCACATATTATAGTTGGCAAGGTTTAAAGAAAACGATATGGGAGATGAGCTGAATTGCAAGCCTGTGTAGCACACTTATTTAAGAGTAAGCCACTGAAATCTGTTTACTTAGATTTAACAATGGTTATACTACTAAAATAAAATCACTTGATTAACTAAAAAGGGCTTTGAGTAGCAGGCCGACAGATTGTATTACTTAAAATAATCTTTTAATACATATTCTTATAAGTGTTACAGATGATGAAATCATGCAGGAATGGATCTGAAAGGAATTTGGATGTAGAGGCAGGTATTCTCTTATATATTGCTGAATTCTAATTAATAAAAGACCCTAGCTGGTAATGAGATAATGTTGAGGATTATAGGAATATGTTGAGCCCCATTCTACATCTAGTCTACTTCTCCATTCAGTGCTGAATCCACAATGCAAGACGTAAGTATAGCACCTTAAATACAGGGTCATCCAGTTTCTGCTTAAGTGCCTCATGCCTGTGGGGTTCATCTTAATGCTGCTTCCTTGCTATATCACCCATTGTTTCTAGGCCATGTCATCTCATCACTCACACTTTGTGTGAATGAAAATGGAATGAAAGATCTCTTTTAAGAAGATGCAGGCATTAATGACCTGAATAAACTCTTTTTTAGTTAGAGCAATTTTTCTCAAATATCAATATATGTAATGAGTTCTTTATTGCATTTTTAATAATAGTATATAATTTTTTAACATTTTGAAATGTCAAAATATATAATATTTCCCAAAAGACAAACAGAACAAAGTTTGTTCAGATTGTTTAAATGTCTGACTTCCATCCAAGCTTGTTTCCAGTTATGAAATTAGGGAGTACAAATAAATCTGTATGGAATACAGATAAATTTCTTTGATTCCCCAGTTCCATAAAGCCCACGAAACAGACTCTGCTTTACGCCACAATGTAAGATCATCATACTACATATGCAACTTATTTAAAGCCTCTACCTGAGTTACACCAGGAGGAAGTCCATTCATCCATTGCCATCTTCCAACTATTATTTCCCATTCAATTATGTCAGATGGATGTGACATGCTTTCTATCTGATAATGTAACACAGCTTCCCCATCATAAAAGTATTATTGGGCTAAATGGAATACATTTTTACTTCATGGGAACATTAAGAAACATCAGTCTGAAAGGACAGACTGAAACCCATCTGCATGTCCTGGGAGTAGGAATAGCATTAAGATCATATTTTACTATTCAATTGATTGTTCAAGGTTTATTTTTTTTCAATTAAAATATAACATCATGTTTCTGGTAATATGGAGAAAAAACCCTGTGGATAATGTCCATACATAATCTTTAATAAAGAAGTATTCCATATAATAGATGTGTATTCTGATCAGCTCAGTAAAATATCTCTTTAACAATCTGTGAGTAAAAGTAAATTGAAGCTAAATAAATACTGGTTATCAGCAACAATAATCTCACTATTAGCTCTTCTGCAGCTTCTTTTTCTAAATTAAGTCCTATTCTGTTATGTGAAATAAATGAAAATTAATCTTCTTGTTACTATCCATTTATTTTTATTTGTCAGTGAGGTCTTAGATTAAATGCCTCATTTTTGTCCTAGCAGTTTACTACTATGTTCTTGAAGACCACCTATGTTTACATAACAATAATGGTTTGATGGCTGTAACTATGCTTTTAGCCTGTTCCCAGCAATTTAAATGGGCCTTGCACAAGATACATTCCTAAACCTGGTAGCACCTTTTCTAACTAAAGTTTTATTAAAAGGCATAAGCTCTCATGAGCTGCAGCCCACTTTAGTAGATGTCACTGATACCTCACAAAAGCTTTTGCCTTTTAATAAAATTTGTTAGTCGGAAAAGGTGCTACCAGACTTCTGATTTTTGCCAGCATATAGACTAACATGTCTCTCTCCTACAAAGATACATTCCTGGTGGATTATGCTTCCTTTTATTTTAATGGGAGAGAAATCTTCCCTTAACCAGTTGTCCCTGGTGCATCAGATTCAATCTAACTCTTTGGAGTAACTTCATTAGCAAACATCAAAATATATTAAATTGTTCTCTTAGACAGCCAGATTGTCCTTGACAGAATATAACAAAGCTGCTACTTCTATCCTTATTTATTAAATTTGTACATGGCTCAAGTCCCAGAGACTCTGGGCGGTTGTAGCTTCTCCCTACAATAGAGTCACCCTCTGGAAGAGATGGGCAGCATATAAATTTAATAAATAAATAGCCATTTTACTGAGAACAGTCCTCTCTGCAGGTTTGTTCAGCCCTTAATTTCTCCATTAATATGTAAGACTGAGTTTAAGCAGGTTACCTGGTCATGAACTGACTGACATTATGGTATGGTGAATTGTATTTTTATTTGATAGCAATTTTAAAGCAACTGCTGTCTCTTTAATGCCATTCTATTTTTGCTTTCTTTTTGGATGATTTAGGTGATCTTTTGGGGAGATGTGTATCATTCAGGTTTTTATCAATAGGAAACCCATGCACATGACTGAAGAGCAAACCGTGAAAGATTCAGTTGAGAGATTCTTAGTACCTTCTCGGGAGAGAACTGGAGTTGAAATTGACTGCATATCTAGGGCCATGTAATATAATCCATCTCCCCCACACACATGCCACTTCCCAAATGACTAATCAATGAGGCATTAGGAGGATCTGAGTCTGGTTGTAAAGCATCAGTGTTCGGAGGAGACAGAAGGCGAGGAACAGGGAGCCACAAACACTCAAGGGAAATCTTTTTTTGTTGCTTATAAAAGAGCTATAAAAGATTGTTCAAGGCTGTGGATGAATTTGTCAGGATCTCTGTGGAATGGAGTTCTGAATAGCTGATATCAAAATGTTTGTTGGCTTCCTTTATTAGACTGATTTTAAATAGTTGCTCTTCCCACATGCAGAAAATAGGTGAGGTGAAAGGAAATAAAAATGTGCGGAAATGAAGAAAGCAAATTGAAAAAAAACAAAATAGTATGTCTCTAGGCAGGGTGAGGTTTGGGAAAACTGCAGCTGGATACTCCTATCAAGACAAGAAATTATCAGCAATAAATATTTTGCTAATGTGTTGGATACACTTATGTTTTTTAAAAAAGAAGCTACTTTCACATCTAGGAATGACCATGGCTGTATATCCTACTTGTGCTGGAAGTTGAAAACTTCATCTGTCTTATCTTAATACTATCACATTTTGCAGACTTGCTTTCATCATGTTTTACTTTGCTTACCATCAGATGTAGATGAGCTTAAAAATAGTTTTGCCTGTGTGTTCTTTTAAAGCTGACCCTAACCAAAGGCGTTGCTGTGCTGCAATTATCCCATACCTTATGCTATCCAGATGCATTAGGACTGTAACTCCCAGAATCTTCAGCCAACA